GCCGATTCGGGAAACCTTTGGGCTCCAGCCCTCGGTGTCAGTGCCGACGGGAGGGGGAAAGGCCGGCGGCTGCAACAGCTCGTCCTTCACCGTAAACCGGGAAGGCTGGCCTGGCCTCGGGAATGTTCCGGCCCGGTCATCGCCCCGTAGGGAAGCAGAGCTGGGGTGCGTTGCATAGGTTAGCCCTTCTAGACTAGGCCGTCCTTTATGGGGTGGGCGGGCGGTGTTTAACAAAAAAAAGCCATTTTGGCTGCGTAGCCTTTTTTTTCCCCTTTCCATAATAATAGTTGACTAACGACCGAGTTAAACGTGGGAAACAAAGGCCAAACGTACCTAAATTTGCAGTGTCACGCACATTCTTTCTGCTGACCCTAACGTATGGCGGCTTACCGAGATAAACAGCAGCTCGCGGCGCAAAGAAATAAGCTCTCTATTAAAATCGGGCCGTTTGCCCTTTTACTCTTTTTCCTAAAAATTAATTGCCTGCTCACCAGCCAACAGCGCATCACCAAATCACGGGAGAAGCCTGTGAACAGTGCTTAAGCGTATTAGGAGCGGCGTTACGCCTCCATCGCCTTTTCTTTTGCGTCTGGCAGAGGTACGGCTTATTTTGGGGGTCTGGAATCGTGGCGCGAAGCGGCTGCGCGGACGCTGGCCGTTTCCTCAGAAGGACAGCCCGGGGGGGTTCCCTCCAGCTGCCGCCTTTGGCTAACGGACGAAACCAAACCGCCTCGCTGAAAATTCAGCGTCTGGGAAGTTCTGGCGGAGAGAGCACCGGAATGGTCTCTCCGAACGGCTTTAATGGATTACCTCGCTCACGTCGCTTCGATTTAAGATTCCTCTCTGGCTTCAGAGACAAGCAGATCCTGTGAAACGAGACTGGAAGTAGCCAAAACGACACTTGGAAGTAGTCAACTGGAAATTGGTAACTCCGTTGTTCCGCAGAGCCTGGGGCCGAAAATCTTTAGGAGAGCTTAAAAAAAGAAAAAAAAAAAGTGAAACTGATCCCAAACGAAGCGCGCGCATCTGCCTCTTCATCCTCCATCCTGGAAAGCTTTTGGTTTGCTTCTCGGCGTAAGAATTCAGGTGTCGGCAGCCTAGAAAGGAGGAAAGTGAAGGGCAAAGTTGTGCTGCGCAGCAGAGCGTATCTAACGCGTCGCTCATCAGCACGGAGAGGGACCGCTCTAATCCTGCTTAACTGTTTCCCCTCCCAGTTGTTCCTTTCTGCCCCCGCGCTTCGGCTTTCTGCTGCTTTCATCGCAGGCTTCGGGCTGCCGTTGGTGGGAGGGAGGGAAGGCCTCGTTTTCTAATAGTTTGGCCGATTGCATGGGATTGGTGTGGGATCGAGCGACTCCTCCTGTGCAGGAGGAAGGAAGTACCCCGTATTCTCCTTTTCCCAAACCCTGGCTAGGATTCTCTTCCCCTTTCCCACCGACCTGCCCTTCAGTGGTAGATTGAGTGGAGTCCTGCCGTTTAACGTCACCTTAAATAAAGAGGGAATGAGAAAACCAAACCTTTTGGACCCTCTGTTTTATTACAGCAAGAACGGGGCTAACATCTGCAGCTCACTGCTTAAACCGTTTTTGTGCGGTTTAAGCCAAAAGCTTCGATTTTCCGCATGTGCTTTTCTAAGTTCTAGCTGTAGGAATGATGAATTAATGCAAACTCTACTCCCTTTTCTGTTAAAACGTCAAGAACGTTTCCCTTGGTGTTGAGGACTTTGCAACATTGGAACACACAGCATTTTCGAACCTTTAGCAGTTAATCTGTTACTAAAGAATCCTTTACGTTTGAGTATCAACTACGATCTTTATTCGTTATTGAAGACTGTTGTCTTAGCTCATGGCATACAGACGCTCTCATCCTAAGTTGTTGGGTTTTTTTCCCTCACCAGCTTTGGCGCAGAACAAGAGGAAGCCATGGTGTGCATTCCTTGTATCGTCATTCCCGTTCTCCTCTGGGTCTACAAGAAATTCCTTGAACCGTACATCTATCCCGTTATCGCACCTTTCATTAAGCGCGTATGGCCCAAGAAAGCGGTGGAAGAAACAACAGCCGCCAAACAAGGTCAAGGAGGCAGCGCTGGAAACCCACGGGCACCTTCAGCCACGAAGAGAGACCAGGAGGATGAGTCTGGAATTTATAAAGTAAGATTAATCACTTCGCTAACCGGGGAAACTCCCGATAAAACGCCCAGCAATAGTTCAGGGTGGGCACCGCAAAAGAGTGAATTGTTGGGTGTTTTTATAGACGTTTTTGTGGCTATTTTCTTACAAAAGGGAGTACTGAGCCGGCTGGAAACGGCAGTTACTCCCAGGCAGCTTCTGGTAGGTCTTGGAAGGATAGGAATTGCACCCGTTTTCTGAAACAGCTTAGTTAATTTAATTTTTTTGCAATGACTGCCTGTTCTTTCCGAGGAGGAAGAAGTCAAGTAATTGGTACATCACACCAGCTGCATGAAGCAGAATTAAAAAAAAAAAAAGCCCCGCTCTTCAGCTAGCTCTGCCACTCATAATGGGGGAAAACGTTTAGTGTCTGTAAATCATGCATTTGTTATTTATCTCTTCTGAGAAAATTCAAAGATTTGTGTATGTTGTCTCTGCCCTCACTCCTCCCCCCGGCCCCTCGAAGCAAAAATTACGTGTAAATCCATCGCTTTGGTTCTTGCTTCCGAAACCAGGACATTTCTTCATAGATCTTCACTGGCCTTGCTTCTAAAAGTAACTTTCATCACCGACTGTTACTGTTCTGGGTGTAGAGTCCTTTTTTGACGTCCCATTAATGATGCTGTGTTTTGTTTGCAGTTTGAAAGCAACGGCGTTGCAAATGGAATTGCTGCAGAGAGATCCACAGAAGTTTCTGACAAGAAAACAGATTAAAGGAATTCATTCCTAAGGATTTTATTCCCTTGTGTCCGATATGAACTAGGGACGTTTCTCTCACTTTGAGACTTTTTTCTTTGCACATTTTAGCTGAATAAAAACCCTTATCACTTACAGGAGAGGGTCTCTTTTGCCACTAAAATGGCAGCTAGCACATTTCCTAATTTAAAATGTTTGAAAACCGAAGTTCTTTGTTTTCCTCACTGGAACTACTTTTCATCTATCATCTGTTTGGTGTGATTAGAGTTTAGGTTAAATAACTTATGAATAAATCTAGCTTTGGAAGGTAAATGTGTCTTAGCGTCTTAGTTTCACTAACTGCTAGTGCGATACTTCAGGCTTTCACCTTAAAAGCTATAGCTATTCTTGACCTTGCTAAAGAACTGTGAATTGCATTGTGGCAACATAAACGTCATGGTTAAAGGATGAAGAATATAGGTTTTTCATGACAAACCTGTGGCTGAGCCAAAGGAGTTATGCTATATGCAAAATTTACTTAGCTTGCTGAAGGCACAAAGTCTTGATTTGATACTTCCATTAATTATTTACCTTGAAACATTGTGCCTTTCTTTCCTGAAGCGGAGCAGCAGGGGCATGATGCAAGAGAACTGTTGCTTTATATTCTGTTGCAGTGGTTTAAAAATGGTGCAGTTTTGTCTTTAAAAAACAGAAAAATCCAACTAAAATCTCTTTAACGCGCTTGTGTAATTTGAATTACAATAAACCAGGATTTTATTTAAAAATAAGCTGCTTCATACAATTGTTCTTAGGCTTCTGAGCTATAAATATTTAGAGTGGTAACAAAATCTTTGAAAACCTGTAGACAGGCCCCAGGCAGAAGGAGGTCATAAAACTACTGACTTCACGATAAAGAAAGTGAGCTCGGAAAGTCCAGTGTTGCCTTCCTCCTGGGAAGATGCGTTCTGGTACCGACTTGCATCCCAACACGATAGCGCAGTTGTGAAGCGTTTTAGATGCCCCTGTGCTTTGTCCTCTCTGCCAAACCAGAGAGCTCTTGAAAAACATCGAAACTATTCCAGAAATTTTGGATTGCTATTTAGGATTTACCATTTTTCCCAAAGTCCTACCTAAGGTATGCCTAAAAAGGCATACCTTTTTATACATGCAGTCCTTGAACCGTCACTGAGGTCCAGTCTTGTTCTTGCAACCGTGTTTTCTCCTACCCGATAATTAATTACTCCGAAGACTTGCTTGATGTCCCTCCAACGCCTCTGGCGAGGCGTATTGTTTCCTACCACTAGCCGGTTTTGTCAGGTCTTGTGCGAATCGATCTGCAATGTTCACAGCTGGGTATCGGGCCCTTGTTGCTACAAGCATTACTTCTGTAATGAGCTGAATCATAGAAAACTCCTTGTAAGGCGTTGCCTAATACTGTTTGCTCTCCCTTGAGGAGCTAGTCTATTAGGAAGTGAATTTGGTATTGCCGTTCAATCAGCTTTTGCATCATCCTTGGAACATAATCCCCCATCTGATCAGTGTTATCGCAGATACAGCTTTCTCCTAGACCGGTGAAGTACCTATGCTTTGTGATACTAACACCTGGTTTTATTATTCTGAGCATGCACGCGTGGTATAATTCATACAATAAAAGGTAACAATACTAACTGTGCACTCCTGTAACTTCTCACAGACATTTTTGTGTGGATCATGTAGTAGAAAAGACAGGGATTGGATAGCGGAAGGAAGGGAAAGAGGCCACGCTAGTTTCCGATTGTTTTTGTCCTCCGTATCATTGGATATTTCGCCCATTTTGTTGCAACAAATCCTACCCTATCCATCAAAACTTACCCTGGTAAAAGGTGGATGTAATCTTTGCTGTGGTGGATTGGGTTTTCTAAATGAATCAACCCCCACCTCACCCCAAACAATGGACTCCTCTGCAATCACCACTGTCAAAGTTCATGCTCTAAATCTGAAAGCTGAGAACTTCTAAGGGTCTGCGATGAGAAAGGAGTTAACTGCCCGAGAAAGTCACTCCAGAACCGAGGTCACGCACAGCGTCTTCCACATGGCTACAGAAATGAAGGTCCTCTGCAGGTGCGCAGCTGAACGTGAGTACGCGTTCTTACGTTGTAAGCGTTGCTGAAAAGATTGTCCCTTCAGCTGTCCTTCCTGTCCCAGGGCAGGTAACCTTAACCACTCTTTTAAAACATCAGGCATCTCACAAACAGGCCGAAGTTTTGCAGTAATATATTCACCTCTAAGAGCTGTGAACATGACAAAAAGTAGAGCAAGAGCTGTACTTCACAAATTAAAGAGCTCCTTTAATTTGCAAATGGACGCAGCCAATTTATAAAGTGTACATAACTAATTATTTTGAGTTATTTAGGATATTATTATACAAGGAAGCCCATCAGACAGTAACGTGGGAAATACACTGTATAGTAAATTAGACTGCAGGCTGAACTGGGCTTCCAGCTGTGTGCCAGCACCGTATTTAAACACCAGGCCTCCTGAAGAGACTGCAAAAAGCAAAACGGGCAGATAGTGCAAGTATCTGTTCTTGGTTGTAAAATTACCCCGTTTGTGCTTTCTGGAATGGTGTCTCAGTACATTTATTAGCTGCAGTTAAAGACTAATGTGACTAATCTTCATCACAAAACTTTCCCGAAAGAGGCACTTCACTGGAAGTCCTGGCAGATTTGTCTTGCAAAATTTTCCAAGGATAGGTCAGTAATCCTAGCGTGTTGTGAATAGTTAAGCAAAAAATAAGTCAAGAAACAGGTGAAGGAAGTGAACTGCCTGAGCCTGGGCAGGGGTGCAGGAGATCATCTGCTGGGATGCAAAGAAGTGCACAAAGCCTTGTTTAAGACAAAGAAGTGGACAGAAATTAAGGAAATCCTCACGAGAGAACAATATAGATCAAGGACATTGAATTTAACTGAGAAAATTTCTGTGTGTTTGTTCCTCACTAGAAGCAAGATTTACAAAAGGGCTTAGGCACCTAATGGTGGCAGGTGGACATCTACCAGAATTTACTAGAGCAAGCAGCAGCTTCATTTGTGCTGAAGACACTTAGAAAATTGCAGAGTAGGCATCTTCAGGGACCAAAGCACTTCTGCAAATCTAGTCCTAAGATCTTCAGCATTAAAGCTGTCTGGGTTTATTTAAATACTATTGAGGAAGAGTCAAGAAATCAATGAATATTGGAAAATATTTGAAAAAATATTCAAATTGACTAATTTTAAATATTTTTTCTTTACGGGAAGGTCTAAATGTGACATGGTACCTTCCATGCGTTGGTTTGCCCAGGTAGCTGGGTGCCAAGGGCTTAAAATAAACTTAATTGAAATACACCTTTAAAATACCGCAAGTATGTGCAAAAAATTCTTAAATAAAAGTTCAGAAGGTTTTATGTTGCCAATTGTTTTGATGGGCCTGATTCTGCAAGCAAAGGAAATTCTGGCAGGTTAAATTGAACATGATCAGCCGCTACAGATGTCTAAAGTAGCAATGAATTCTGTGCAAAATTATCTTTATTCAGATGCGTTCACAGAACACAGGTAAATTCTGTCCACAAGGCTGATCTAATGACAGTAATACAATATGCTGTTATTACCCAAATGTAGCAATCACGCTCCAGCCTTCTGGGAGTTGTTGGGCATGCTGCGAAGGTTCAGTCCTTGGAGTCATTCCTTCCTGATTTCTGTAAAACGCAGAACATTATTGCTGAAAGAACAGTCTTTTCAGAGGCTGCAGGTAAAGGAAATGAAGAGAAATGTAATTTACACTTAGATTAACTAAATCTCCCTTCAATGAGAACTAATTCTGTTTCATTAAACTGCCTAACACATCAAAGAAGGGATTATCTTCCTCGTGCAGTTTTCTCATTGTTAGAACATGCTCGATGAACCAAATCATATTTTGGGTTTCGCAGACTGTCATTATTTTTGCTTTTCAGTGAACCCGACTGCAGTAGTTTAACTGAAATGGTCTAGGAGACCATGTTTGCCACAGCGATTCTCTTGCTTGAGAAATGTTCTTAGATCATAGTGCTGTATCTTTCTTTCATTGTTGTGTTTGAAACATGAATTATTTGAAATGTTGTGATGTATTTATATGTAGATAGACGCAGCAATACTTGTATTTTGCATGCGGATTTTTTTTTTCAATTCCTTGTTTGGGCATACAGCCCTACCTCTTTTATAGCCACTCTTAACTGTTGACTGCACCATTTTTATCGCTGTAGCGGTCTGATCAAACACTGTATAAACATGAGGCCAAACCCTATGCCAGGTTTTTTGCCTTTATGTGGCAACGTATATGAAGTGGTTAGTCCTCACCTTTGCACTTGTGCTGTTCGCATACGCCCTATTTGCTCGCGCAGCCCGTTTACGGGTACGTGTAAGAGACGGGCTGCGCGTTTAGTGTCGCACACTGTGGTGATTGTGCTCAGGGTTAATTATATTGGGAAGGGTTTTCCCCTTTGAAGGAACTATCAGGTACTTATCAAACCAGCTACCGATGGCACAAAAACCACCTCAGATATGGAGACGGGAGGTCACCAGAGGTAGAACCGATGAATTAAAGCAGCGTGAGGGCAGGACCGTGCCTGGTAAATCCTCCCGCCCTCTGGCTCTTGGTCCCACTTCCTCGAGTTACCTCATGTCCCACTGACTGAAAACGCGGCCGGCGGAGGAGGGGAGGCCGAGGCAGTCAGCCCGTGCCCCCGACCACCCCGCGGCTCATCGAGAGAAGCCTCC